GAGCAAACAACACACACACACACACACACACACACACACACACATCACACACACACACACACACACACACACACACACACACACACACACACACACACACACACACACACACACACACACACACACACACACACACACACACACACACACACACACACACACACACACACACACACACACACACACACACACACAAACATCGCACGCAACGCGGATGAGTGCGAGCGATGAGATCAGGGAGGACTTGCTCCATGTGCATGTCAACACGGCCAAGGAATGGCTGAGCGGCTACTCGCTTGCAGAGCGCAAGAAGTTCTGGGTGGAGGTGCGCCACATATGCGACCGTGCTCTGTTGTACAGTGCTTTGCTCTGCTGTGCTTTGCTGTGCACTGTGCTACTGCGCAACTCTCCCCCTCTCTCGCTCACACACGCGCGTGCACACGCACATGCACACACGCACATGCACACGCACACTCCAACAAAACACATCCGCGAATCGCGGTCCTTTTGGTCAGCTGCTGCTGGAGGTGCCGCAAGAAACTGGGTTCATCATCACTGTGGCACATCGTGTGCAGAACATTCATGCTGCGCTGATGGGCTCCGACAACGACGATGACAACGACACTGGCATTGACGCAGCACGTACAGGACACAGCAAGGCGAAGCATGCCACGACAGCAGAGCAGCAGGAGCACGCAGACCTAACACAGCCCTTTGCACAGGCTGCAGCCGAGATTAACAGGTCAGTGACGCACATACACCACAAGCAGCCACATGCATCGGTACCTGCGTCGTCGCAGCACCGTACCAATCGAAACCGCACACTTACTCACACACTCACTCTCACTGACGCACTGACGCTCACTTAGTCTCTCTCCCTCTCACACACACACACACACACACACACACTCTCTCTCTCTCTCTCTCTCTCTCTCGCATTCGCACTGCTGTAATGTCTGTTTCCTTTGCCTCTCTGTGCGACTACCCAAAGGTTGAACAGCGATCGCGCCAAACAACAACGATGGGAAACGCAACGTGATCTAGCACTACAGGTTAGGCACGAGCATGAACGCTTGCACTGGCACACACACACACGCTCTCTCTCGCTCCCTCTCTCTCTCTGTTATGTTCACATCTGAAGCGACTGCCACCGCTGTTATCGATCTCACTGCCAACGAGTAACCTAACTTACGCTCACTGCCGCCACAACTGCGCCACATCCATGCCCTCACAACACCACGCACACACACACCATCGTGACAGCACATCACCGCCATCACAGACTCGCTCAACTCATTATCACGTGAGTTTGCCATGAACTACACCGTCTCCGAGCGTGTCAAGGTGAGGCTTGTCATCCACTATGTCACCTGTGCACCCCAACACACACACACACACATACACACACACACACACTGTGGGTCTGCCATCAACAGTGGCGTACTCAACCAGCACGCACCATCTGCCCCCTTCCATTGCAGGCGCCGCCAACGAACCTGGTGATGGTGTCATCTGCTGTGCCGGGATATCAGCTGCTTGCCGCCGCTTGTAACGAGACAACCACATGCATCGCTTATGACGCAACAGGTCGGTGACCACACACACGACGCACACATAGTTGTGCACACAGACGCACAAAGATGTACAAACACAAACAAAGTCACGCAAATGCGTACATACACGCACACAGATGTAAACACACATACACACACATGTGTAAACACGGACACATACACACACACACACACACACACTCTCTCTCTCTCTCTCTCTCTCTCTCTCTCTCTCTCTCTCTCTCTCTCATGCACACGCATACCAACACGCGCTCACGCCTGCAATGACACCCCAACACCTCGCCACCACGGACAACCAGGTACGCCGTCGCAGCTGCTGTCTCGCGTCGTCGCCGTCTTGAAGCAGCGACCCGTCCACCACGCAGCGCTCGTCTGTCAGGGCCGCCCAGGCATCATCCACCTCACGCGCGGTGCGGTGCCTGTGCTTGTGCTTGAGGGCGCGTCTGTCTCTCTGTCCGTTTGTCTGTCTCTCTGTCTGTGTATCTGCCGTTGCGTTGTTGTCGGTGCCCAAATTCCATGTATGAGCACGTATCCTTCCTCACCCCCTCTCCTCCACCTCTCCTCCCCCACTCCTCCACCTCTCGGCCAACCCCATCCCCCAATGCGCAGATGTGGAGACGAAAGTTGCGTCCGTGGCGGAGAGCAAAGTGGTCGTTGAGTTTTGGCGCCGGCTCGGCCTCCTCCTCCAGCCGTCATCACACCACCACCATGCACATGCACACGACAGCCACGGCCACACGCGTGCGCCGCGGGCCACGCTGCACGTCTTCTCTCCACTGCTTACGGATTCAGGTGAGCAACACCTTCCACGTGCTTGTATTCATATTGTATGCTGTGCCCGTCTGTTCCCCTCTCCCCGTCTTCATATGCATTCGTTCGCTTGCCTTTGTTTACCAGTCGTTGAAGTCAGACAGCAGCTGCATTATCGTTCCGCTCACTGACCACTTTCCGCCACCCCTTTTTCCCGTTGCCCCACCTTCATGCGTCCCTCCCCGCCACCAGCGGAGGGCGGGAAGCTGATCAAGCTGCTTGCGCGCCAGGCCAACATCGCCCTCGTGCCCTGCAACGACCTCACCGTGGCGTTTGAGGGGGACCTGCGCCCCCCGCCACCGTCAGCAACATCACAACAACAACAACAACAACAACAACAACAACAACAACAACAACAACAACAACAACAACAACAACAACAACAACAACAACAGAACCAGCACCAGTCGCCCAACAAGTCATCGTCACTGGTTGTTTCGGCTCGACCCGACACGGCACCAGCACACACCACCACTGGCACCACGACAACGACCACAATGACACACATGCGTGCACCAGCGACTGCGGCCTCGCTGTTCTTCGAAGCGTTGCCGCTGCACACGTGGCGTGCTGGCGCGCTCCTTTTTGCTGACGTCAGCACGGGCTGTGACGAGGCGTTTCGTGCGGAGCGCCAGGCCGCGCTGAGAACCATTGTGGACCAGCAACTGCAGCTGCTGATTGCAGAGTGCACGGGGTTCACAACATCGGCGGGGATCATGGCGTGCATGTCTGAGCTGCGGCACTGGTTCGCGACACAGTGGGAGGACGTGCGGCGTGCTGCTGTTGCGTTTCCCTTGCACAGTGAAGTCGAGGGCGAAGACGACACGCACGTGAGCGCACAATCACACCAGCAGCACCCGTTGCAGCTCCTGCCGCTGTCAGACATGGACACGTCGCACCCTCCAGACTTCAAGACTTCGCACGTGCTGTCGTCGCTTGGCGGGTGGCTGCTGGAGCGCTCGCAAGTGTACGGATCGCAACACGCAGAGAACGCACTGCGGAACGAGGAGGTGGCGGCGGTGCGATTGCAGGAGTTGGACGAATTGGAACAGCACCTGTCGACGCTGCATGCTGTTCAGCAGGGCCTGGTGGCTTCGCTGGTTGCACTGGACGGGGCAAAGGCGCCGAGCTCCACAAACGCCAGTGGTGGTGGTGGTGGTGGTGGTGGTGGTGTGAACAGGAAGGGGACGAAGACAAAGACGAAGAGCACCAAGAAGCCGCGGCGAGGACACATGTCGCTCATGCGGCGCGCTGACCGTGACGAGGATGATGATGACGAGGATGATGATGATGACGATGATGATGATGATGACGATGATGATGATGACAGTGATGACGGCAGCGACGACGAAAACGATAGAGAGAGCGGTAGCAGCAGCGATACGACGGATGAAGATGAAGCCCGGGCCACTGTGGAGGATGTGCACACAAGCACGAAGGAGCTGGAGAGGAAGCTTCGGCGAGCTGCAGATAAACAGCAGCAATGGCGACAGCAAATGCTGAAGCGGCAGCTGAGCGAGCACCAGGAGATGGCGGTGCGGAACACACAGGCGCAAGAGGGCAGTGGCAAGCGCGGAGGGGACGCCAACCACGATGCCGCAGGTGGTGACGGCGGCGATGGTGGCGATGGTGCTGGCGCGTTTGCAGCGTTTATGGAGGACTGGCTGCGGAGTGAAGATGCGTTCGTGCACGTGCTGACCGCGTGTGAGCGCGTGGATGTGTCGACATTGGAGGCGCTGACGCGGGTGCGGCGACCGAGCGAGCACCGGCGTGGGCGGCGGCGGTGGATGCGTGGCCACTCGCGGGGCGACGACGACAACGACGCCGATGATGGCGATGGTGGTGATGGTGGTGGCAATGATGGCGGAAGGGTGGGACGAAGACGAGGAGGGACAGGGACCAGGAAAGACAGGTTGCACCGCAGCGACGCGCGTGGCCGTGATGGCAACGCGGGAGCAGATGCGCGGATGGCGCTGGACGTGCACACGGCGAGCACCATCTTTGGTCTGCAGCAGGAGGCCATGGAGGCGGCAGACACATACTATCGACGGCTGCGGTCGTGTGCGCGCCCGCTCACCCGCTTGGCCGCCGCGATTCACACCATTCAGCATGCAGAGGCGCCGGCTGTGCTGCAGCTCGTGTACCGGTGCCAGCCGCTCCTGCTGCAGGTGTGCAGTGCCGCGGCCGCATATGCACGGGCAGTGGCGGTGATGGCCGACAACCTGCACCTCGCAGACGGCGCGTGGAACGATGAGGTGGGCGGCAACGCGCACCTTGTGAGCGCGTGGTCGCGGGTGCTGGTGCAGCGGCCCGTGCTGGCGCCGTCGTTTGCACAGGTGCGGCATCTCCTCGTTGCGCGGTTGAAGCGCATGCAGCTGTGCTTCTCGCGGCTGTGCTACCGCCTGCACCACTTGGAGGGCAGCGTGTTTGCGCTTCTCAAACTCGCTGGCGGGGACAGTGATGCGGAGAAGGCGTGGGTGTCGTGCTCGTCGCTGCTGGTGGAGATGCTCGCGCTCGCACGCAGCACAACAGCGGAGATCACGCGTAGGCGGGCAGCGGCAAGCAAGGTGCTGGTGGCGCGGCTGTGCGAGGCTGCCAGGGCACAGGGTGGGGCTCTTCGGCTTGCGGCTGCCGGCAGCAAGGGCAGGGACGTGCACACGCGACTGGCTCAGCTGCAGCAAGCGGCGGACCGCACTGCAGCCATCACTGCTGGCGGCGATGGCGGCGATGGCGGCGATGGCGGCGATGGGGTGGTGTTTGTGTGGTGTGTTGGGTTGCGGGTGGATGAGGAGACGGGGCGTGAGCAAGGGCCGGCGTATCTTGCGTCATGCTTTGAGCGCGCGCAGCACCTCGTACCTGTGACCGTCACTGTAGAAGCGCTGCAACCACTGGAGGCTGGCGATGGTGGCGGTGGTGGCGATGGGGAAGCAGAGGATGGTGCTTTTGATGGCGCGGGTGATGTCGTGGTGCTACCACAGGTGCCGACGCTGTATGGGTCGTGCATTGTGCATGCGCCTCGCCCGGAGGCTGGCCTGAGACTGCGCGGGCACGTGTTGCATGACGCTTTCATCACTGATGCGGGGGTGCATGTGCTTCGGTTGCGTGAGCACGCGGAACTGGGTGATTCTGCGGTGCTGCTGTCTCCGTCTGCCATTGCCGTGCAACAGCTCATGTACCAGCTTGACCAGCACAACGCCCGCCGCCGCTGAGGGCGCACCGCCCTCCTCTCATAGTGTGTGCGTGCGTGCGTGCGTGTGTGTGTGTGTGTGTGTGTGTGTGTGTGTGTGTGTGTGTGTGTGTGTGTGTGTGTGTGTGTGTGTGTGTGTGTGTGTGTGTGTGTGTGTGTGTGTCACAGTGTGTGTTCTGGGACGATGTCATTGTTTTGCTTTCTGTTTTTTCTTGTGTTTACCGGTTTGATTGACCTACTCTAAACAACCATGTACAAGCACGTCAAGGTCTGCCCAACTTCTTCGAGGAGGCATACGACTTGACGCAGTCGTCTCAAGCTGCTTAAACGCGATGTCGTACATGTGACAACAGCGACAAAGACGGCAGCGGCAAGTGGGCAGCAAAGAAGAGTACAGAGACATTTGAATGAATAACTATCCAGAGAACAGAAAACAAAAAAGGTACAATAATAAACAAAGAAACAAATGACTCTCTTGTAATTCTAAACAGCCAGCTCAACAATGATATGAACAACCACATCGCCCAACGAGTGCGCCAGCATGCCGCGTTCCTTAGCTTGCCGCTCCTTCTCCGCTTGCACCCAGCACAAACACCCGCGACACGTGAAGACGTGAGAGCACACGACACACTAGCACACTGGGTTTGAAGTTGCCGCGGCCCTTCAATGTCACATTTTAATTGCACAAAGTACTCAAGAATCAGCTGCGTGGAAATTGGTCCGAAGATGTCGCTGTTTTTCTCCGGTCGCTGCCACAAAACAACAACACACAACAACATACCACACAACAACAACACAGACCAGAGCATGACGACAACAGTGCGCGAGCTCCTGGACTTGGTGGCTGAGCAGGATGGCAGTGCAACGCTGTCGCTTGTGGACGTGGACGTGGCCGATGACGCGTTGGAACACTTGATTGCGCTCTTGCCTCAGCCAGATGCCATCACAAAGGTGGTGCTGGAGCGGAACGGCCTGCAAAGCGGCGCCAGCGTCGCCCGCCTGGTGTATGCCTTGTCGGCGCTGGAGGAGCTTGTTGTGCGTCGCAATGATCTCACGCAGGACGGGTTCCAGGAACTGTGCGTGGCACTGCAAACCCACGACAGCCTGCACACGCTCGACTTGAGCCGCAACAGGCTCCCAGATGCAGCTGCAAACGAGCTCTGTGCTGCGCTGGCATCATCCAGCTCGCTGCGCACCCTCAACTTGAGGGACAACTGCCTGACGGGGGACTCTGCGATGACCCTCTCTGCCCTGCTCATGAGCGGCGAGTGCAAGCTGGAAACACTAGACCTAGGCGTCAACGATCTCTCGGACAGCGGGACCCTTGCCATCGCCGCGGCCCTTGAGGCGGACGCGTGCACGCTGCAACGGCTGTCACTCGACACAAACTCCATCACCATGGTTGGTGCGCAGGGCCTTGCATCTGCCCTCACCAAGAACAAGACCCTCAAGGTGCTCAGCATCACGGACAACAAGCTCGGCGACGCAGGCGTACAGGCACTCGAAGAAGCGCAGGGAAGCAACGCTGTCCTGCAGGAGGTTGCAGTGCGAGGTAACAAGTCGATCTTGGCTCATACCTCCATCTGACGCCGGCGCGCGCGCGTGTGTGTGTGTGTGCGTGCGTGCGTGCGTGCGTGCGTGCAAGTTTGTATGTGTGTTTGTGTGTGTGTGCGCGAGGGAGAGTGTGCGTGCATGCGTTAATGAGTGAGTCAGTGTGTGAATGAGTGTGATTTGCAAGCGTGAGTATGGGTGCTAGTGCACGTGGTGTCTTTGTGTGAATGTTATTCCGTGGTGCAAGACCATCCAACCACTGGTGTTGTCCTGCGTCCCCTCGCTCCCCATGTGCATGCTCGTTTTTGGTTAATGCATGGCTAAGTGCTTGTCTGCTTTTTTACATCCTGTCCGATCGATTGATTGCCCCACTCGCGCCGGCGTTCACGCCGACACTGCGCTGTCTTGTTTTCCAACATGTCCCCCCTCCCCCTGCTTGATCGGACGCAAGACTCATTCATGTCCGTGTATTTATATGTCGGGTGCCAATGAAACCACGCCTCATTTGCCAGTACAACAGCGCATGTCACGCGAAGCAGAGTGGCCATGACCGAACACCCAAACGAAACAAGCAAAAAATCAAGCGAAGCCATGAAGCGAGACAATCAAACAGGAAAAGCAATCAAGGATCTCCACAGATCTACGCCCCCCACCACTACCGCTACCACCAGCACTGACATGTCACCACAAGGGCAAAGGCCGTGTGTGTGCGCGTGTGTGTGAGTGTGCGTGTGTGTGTGTGTGTGTGTGTGTGTGTGTGTGTGTGTGTGCGTGTGTGAGTGCATGTGTGAGTGAGTGTGTGTGTGTGTGCGTGTGTGCGTGCGTGTGGTGCATCATTTGCGCCTGCTGCCTGCGACGCGTGGGTTGTATGCAATGGCCTCCTCCGCTGCCCGCTCGTCACCGGCGTCTTCGTCCGCATCGGGCGCCTCGGGAACCTCCGCCGCACGCTGCTCAGCCACTTCCTTTGCCTGGTGTGAAACAAGCCGGGGGGGGGGAGCAAGACACGACGCAAGGATGTGAGAACAGGGCGAAGGATGCGCTGTGTGTGTGTGTGTGTGTGTGCGCGTGTGTGTGTGCGCGCGTGTGTGTGCGCGTGTGTGTGTGCGTGTGTGTGTGTGTGTGTGTGTGTGTGTGTGTGTGTGCGCGTGCGCGTGTGTGTGTGTGTGTGCGTGCGTGCGTGCGTGCGTGTGCATGTACATGATGTGTTTTCTGCGCAAGGCTCACCAGCTTCTCTGCGCGCTTTGTAAAGTCCGTGTTGCGGTCCCGGAATCGACGCAGCACTGAGGATGTCACGCACACCGCACAACCCATGTCAGCACACCATGAGCACCGTGCAAACAAGGACAACAGCAAAGCCAAAAGCATACAGCAGTGCCAACCAGCCAACCAACCAACCAACCAATCACCAGCACAATGGTCACAGCACCTGGCCCGCTCTCGACAAGATGGACGATCTTCGCGCCGCCGTGGTGCCCACCGCACGCAAGCTGGTATCCGGAGTCCGGGCAGAAGCCCATCGTAAACACGGGGCCCTGTCACGGTGTGTGTGTTGGGGCGGGGCGCAGAAGGTAAGGAAGCGCAGCACTGCAACGAATACAGCACGAACGACCACCCCCAGTATCACCAGCAGTAGCAGCAGCAGCAGTAGCACAGTAGCAGCACCAGCATCATCATGACAACGCACGAGATCATAGTCCTTTGAGAGGATCATGGAGGGCTTGTCCTTGACGTCCCAGACCTTGACATGCTCGTCTGGCGAGCCTGTCGCCATCAGCCCTTCAATCTGCAGACAACACCACATGCACACGTGCACAGTCGGGCTGTGAACAACGAGGCCATGTAACCACCGCGCACTGGCACCACGACGCTAAAAAAACCAGTGTACACACACACGCACACACACGCACACACACACACACACACGACGAGCACAGTGCTCTTCACGAATACCGACGCGTTCACTCCCAACACGTTCGCTGCCGACACCACACCCACAACAACACTGAAAGTTGCCAGCACCACCAGCACCACCAGCAACAGCAGCAGCAGCACCACCACCAACCACCACCACCCAGCAGCAGCAGCAGCAGCAGCAGCACGAACCTGTGGGCTGAGAGCCACGCACGACACGGCAGCATCGTGTGCCTTGAGCGTAAACACAGGCTTCCCCGGTGCGCGCGCAGAGCACTTGAACACCGTGCCGTTGGACGTGCTGCAGACACAACAACGGGTGCACAGGGTGATGGTGGACCAGGGGAGGTGGAAGGGATTCGGGGATGAGGCAAGGCGGAGGCTGGACACTCGTGCTGGTCTTTGCAAAGCTCTGTTCGCAGCGACACCAAGATAGCCGCTTGCATACACCACTCCACACACACACACACACACACACACACACACACACACACACACACACACACACACACACACACACACACACACACACACATGCGCGTTTACTCACCCAGCGATGAACATGGCCGGGTCCCAGGGGCACCACTCCAGGCACTCGACGTCGCCGTCAAGCTCCCACGTCGCAACAGCCTGCGCAGTCAATGCACACAGCACAGCACGTGAGCAACCCAGCGCCAACACCACGCCAAGCAGCATTGGTGAAGAGCAGGGGGGGGGGGAGGGGGAACAATACAGGGAGCAGACGGCTTGACATTCAATATCACATGTACCGTGAACAACAACAACACCAACAACTTACACAACACCAACAACATAAACAACAACATAAACAACAACAACAACAACAACAACAACAACAACAACAACAACAACAACAACAACAACAACAACAACAACACCACCAACAACATCCTCTCTCACACTCGCGTGTTGTGTGGACCAAACACTACCCACTCAAAACTGAAACCAGCCACGCACCTCTGGCGTGCGTGTGTCAAAGACGGAGACGTGACCGCCGTGTGCGCCCGTGGCGAGAACAGCAACCTCTTGCGGGTTCCACTTGACATTCTCCACCTTGGTGGTGTGGTGCGTGTATGTGCGCATGCACTGCGTGGAGTTGAGGTCCCACAGACGTACGGTTGTGTCTGCCGATGCGCTGGCAAGCAGCGTGCGCTGTCCACGGTTCCACGCCAGACCTAGCACAGCGTCCCGGTGGCCGGGGTACTGCCGTGCATGGTGGTGGTGTTGGTGGTGTTGTTGGTGTTGGTGAGGAGGCGAGAAGAAGGGGAGGAAGGAGAGCGGGAGCATTAAGGAGGGAAACAGGCGCCGTTTAGGGATGGCGATGACGTTGGATGAGCGCCAACGATAAAGGGACGGTGGTGGTGATGGGTTGTTGTCGGGATGGGTTGCCGCGGTGCAAAGTGGTGATGGGCAATTGAGAGCACCGCAAGCGACAGCGAGGACGAGCTCAAGTGTACGCGTGCTTGCACGGCTTCACACACCTTCTTCTTCCCCTTCTTTGTCTTCTTTGGCTTGCCGAGTGTGACAGCGGGCTCGGGCGCCTCGAGCACATCAAGGTCCCACAGCTCAATCTGCGGCTCCATCGTGCCCAGCGCAAGGATGTTGCCCGTGCTGTTGTCGTCGTCGTTGCCTGGATCGTAACCAACCCACTCCATGCACACGGGGAAGGACGACAGCATCACGTCCGTGTGGGGGAACAGCGAATCCTCCTCCTCGTTCCAGACTGCGCAGAGGTGAGTGTTGGGAGGGGGGAGGGTCAGTTTGGTGCATCTCAGCGACACGTGGACCCAAGAAGCAAAGCGCTGACACTTGCGTACGTGCACATGAATGTGCACGACAGCACACAATAGCACACAATAGCACACACACACACACACACAATTGCAGGTCGCTGGCATTGGGGCTTACTGTGCATTTCGAGGCGGCCGAGGCCATCGTCAATGCGGCCAAGCACGAGCATGTTGTCTGTCGGGCTGATGGTGAAGTCTTCCTCGTCATCATCCTGAATGGAGGGGGGGGGGGAGGGAAGTGGCGGCACATGATATGCAAAAGATCAGCCCCAGTTCAAGGAAAAGTATTAGCTTGGCAGCAGGATCTGGGCACATGCACATGTACTCACATGTACACGCGCATGTCTAGACACACACACACACACACTCACTCACGCAAACACACACACACACACACACGCACACACGCACTCACGCACGCACTCACGCACGCACATACATACGCGCACACACCTTGTCGAGGGTGATGTAAGGATCGTCCTTCTGGTTCTTGTAGTAGGTGAGACCTTTGATGCTGGAGAGGTTGGCACCAGACAAGGTCACATCCTCCTCATCGTCGTATGTGTCGAGACCAAACTCCTTGACAACAGCCTGGCGATATCAAGGACATGCATGCGTGTATGTGAATGAGTGAGGTGGGCCAGATCAGAGGCAGCGGTGGGAGAACAGAGTGCGCTACGCAGAGGGAAAGCACACAGCATGCGTTAGGTTGACTGGCGTGAGGGCCTGGTTTGAACGTGAATGTCGCCATGTCGTTGAACCATACCGCATCCTCATCGTCGTCCTCAGCGGCATCCATCTCTGCGTCCTTGTCATCGTCGTCATCATCGCCCTCCTCCTCCTTCATCGCCTTTGTGTCATCACCTTCATTGTTGTCGTCACCCTCATCATCATCATCATCGTCATCATCATCGTCTGTCACCACATCATCGGCGTCCTCGTCCTCCAGCGTCGCATCACTGTGTGCAAACACACCAGGGATTCATGAACCATCAGGCCAACACGAACGGGGAACGTGTGAGGACAGTGTGTGTGTGTGTGCATGTGTGCATACGTGTGTGTATGTGTGCATGTGTGTGTGCGTGTATGCATGTGTGTGTGTGTGTGTGCGCGCGTGTGTGTGTGTGTGCGTGTGTGATCGGTTCGTGCAAATGCAACCACGAAACGTCATACCGCAGCTGTTCCTTGGTCTCTTCCATCAAGCGAGCAAGATCATCCTCCGTGACTTCCAGCTGATGTGCGCGTGTGTGTTTGGATGTTTGTTAGTGGGGGGGGGGATGGTGTTGGAAGTGGGGTTGGCAGGGTGCATGGGCGGCCGAGGCAAAGCGGAGGGAAGTGGATGGGGAAGGAAGAGAATAGAGGCGGAAGAGAAGAAGAAGAGGAGGAGGAGGAGGAGGAGAGTAGGAGAGTAGGAGGAGGAGGAGGAGGAGGAGGAGAGTAGGAGGCGGAGAGTAGGAGGAGGAGGAGGAGGAGGAGGAGGAGGAGAGAGCCAGATCGGCAGAGGAGGGAGTGATGCCCAAACATACGCAAAGAGACAGAGAGATAGATAGAGAGGCAGACACACAGACAGAGACAGAGAGACATAGACAAACAGACACACAGACACGCAGAGAGCCCTCAAAGAGACATAGACAAACAGACACACAGACACACACAGACACACACCTTGGTTGGCTGTGCCTTTGGTGCGCCTCGTGGCACCCACACCGAGCACGCGGTCAGGCCTTGCGACTCCATATTGTGTAGTGGCAGATTGTGCAGAGAAAATGCCTTCCGTGCCTCTGCTTGCTTTGCTTCTCCTGGTGCTTCCTCACCCACACTCGTTACACGACGTTTACTTATGCTGGCACTCCTCGAAAGAACAGAGACAGCGCACAGTCCCACAAAGGAGAGAGCTGCACATGAAGACAGAGACAGAGAGAGAGAGAGAGAGAGAGAGAGAGAGAGAGAGAGAGAGAGAGAGAGAGACAGAAAGGGGGGGGGGGAGTGATGCTCAGGATGGTGGCAGGAAGAAGTACACAATCCACAGCAGCGCACATCGCTGCTGGTACTCTCCACAAGCAATCCAAAGAGAACTCACAAACTGGGCAACTAGTGTGTGTGTATGCAGAGCGGGGGCGGGGAACAAGCAGGCAGCTGGATGGCAGTGGTTAACTTGCGCAAATACCATGATGGCTGGCTGTGTGCCACCCAATCGAACAAAAAAAAAAAGTGGTGGGTGTACAAGCAGACAAGAAAGCATAGCATTGACAAGGAAACCAAAATGTACAGGCGCTCACACGCACGCGCGTGTGCACATGTGCGAGATATGGTGACACACAAAAGCAAGCACATGTGCACACTCACGCACGCACGCACTTGTGTGCGGGTGAGCATTCACATTGCATAACAAGTACGCAGCTGCGCGAAAGGAGGTAGCAACAGAAATGGATGTCATATACAAAGGCGGCGGGGGTAGAGAAGGAAGAAAGGGAAAAGAACGGACGAAGAGGGGCAAACAAAGAGGGGATGAGGGGAAAGAAACAAGAGGCCCGCGTGGTGTTAAACCAACAAGACCGCGACCGGAACAAGGGAAAAAAAAAAAGGCATGACAGGGGAACAGCACTGGCAGATATGCACGCGGACATCACGGGGATGGCGGGTGTGGGCGCTTGTGCTGCAGGTCGTTGCCAAAAAAGTGGCTCGAGCCAACCTCTGCAAACACCGTGCCCGACGTTGGATACCTGAGTAGAGGGAAGCAGGGAGAGGGAGACAAGGAAGAGCGAGGCGAAGTGGGGCGGTGAGCGAAGCAAAACGGGATGACGACGTCACATGAAGGCGCAGGCGATCGCAAGTACGCATCAACCACAATTGAAGTACCAACCACAACACAGCGGCCAGCAATGGCCACTTCTGACACAGAACAAGCACACACACACACACACACACACACACACACACACACACTCAAACACACACGCACACACACACACACTCAAACACACACGCACACACACACACACACAATTGCCCACAAACTCACTGTTGCACGGGGTCGTCTGCCGCCGTCTGCTGCTGCTGTTGGCCGTTGCTCGTCGCTGCAGCCGTTGCTGGATTACTCGGCATGGGTGCTGCCATGGATGGCACAGCAACCGGCGACTGCTGGTGGTGCTGAGGGGCGCCACCTGCTGCTGCTGCTGCTGCGGGGAGCTGCGGTGCCGGGTGGTGCAGCAGCGCGGTTGCGTCACTGGCGCCGTCCTGCCGCGTGTCCATGGCCGTGGTCGTGGTTGGTGCTGGCGGCGGGACAGCCGGACGGGAGGGGAAGTGCCGCACAAACAGCAGCTGGCGGGGGATGCTGAGGTCGTGCTCGTCCTCAACGTGCTCCGGCTCCGGCTCAGCAAGCTCGTTCAGCGCGTCGTAGGTCGGGTGTGTGCGGTCAAAGATGACCCTGCGAGGGAAAGGGAAGGGAAAAGAGAGGCAAGAAAAAAGACGGGGAAGAAAGCGCAGACAAACGCATGTATCACACCACCGAAGATGTGAGCAAAGGTGCGACTGTTCGCGACGAGAGCACAGACAATCAGAAAACCAAGTAGTCCACTTGAACGTTCACACACACACGCAAACAAACAAACGCGCACCTGCCACCGCGACCGATGCGACGGCGGCAAAAGCCGCGAAGGAGTGGAACACGACGAGAGAGGGACGGTGGGGTGACATGGCCAGGCAGTGCGTCATAGTGGCTGAAGCGGCCCTTGCGGTTGAAGCACATTGACTGTCGAGACAGCGGCTGGTTGCAATAGATTGTGTGTGTGTGTGTGTGTGTGTGTGTGTGTGTGTGTGTGTGTGTGTGTGTGTGTGTGTGTGTGTGTGTTGGGTGAGCGGTTGCACGGGGAGCGACGACAACGATGTGAAGTCAAGCACAACCGCACCCTCATGCATGCGCAATGGCCCGTATCCATCCGCGACATTTGTTCACAAGCACACGTCGCAGAAAGCTACCGCCAGCCTGACGTACAGCGTGGTAGTAGACGTTGGTGCGGCGGCGGAAGCGGTAGGGGTCATCGCGTGCGTACTCGGGCTCTGTCACCGCCGACGTGTCCACATACACAAGCTCGTCCTCTTCCTCCTGTGCAGCCAGCGCGCCCGGTCGAGACACACGAGTGAATAGCATGCGGGATGAAGAGGATAAGGGAAGAGAGGGAGAAGGAATGGTCGCTCGCGCAGTGCACATGCGCAATGCACACAACGCACAAGGTGGGTGCAAGCGCTGACCAGACACAGGCAAACACAGCCCCCACCCCACACCACCGCGACCCGCACACACATGACGCACCTTTGGGCGTCTTTTCTTGAGGCGCTTGGCGTCGAGCTGGTTGATGGCGCCGAGCTTGATCTTGAGCGAGACCTTGGGCGGCGCCATGGGCTTGCCGGGTTTCTGTGCTTGTTGTTGGTCTGCAGCGAGCGTGTCAGCGGCGGCAGCAGCACCCTTCTTCTTTTTCTTCTTCTTTTTCTGTGCCCTAATGGCCTGCTCGTGTGCACCCATCAACGCACTTTTTTCCGACGTGGGTAGGGCGGCCTGCTTGGGCTGTTGCGGGGTCGGCGGCGGCTGCAGCCACGGCATGCACTCCCGCAGCAGCTGCCCAGAGTAGTCCTGCGCCGCATACCTGCAAGCAAGAAAACAAGGGTGGTTTGGTGGTTGCTGTGAGATGACGGCGTGGCAACCTCACACACACACACACACACACACACACACACACACACACACACACACACACACACAAGCTCGATGAGTCGCAAGAAGCGTTCGCCCTTCGTTTCATTCACGCACGCACTCTCACACCCCGCCACCGACCTGCAGCGCAAGACGCGGATCTCCGAGTCGACAGCGCGCGCCTTTGCGTCCTCACGCTCCATCATCAGCCGCAACATCTCCCTGCACGCGGTGAACGCAGGTAGGCGTACACGCACCGGTCGTGGCATTGGCAGAGGTGTCAGCGATGACAGGATGCGCGAGAGCAAAGCAGCAATGGGTGAGCAGGTGTGCGTGTGTGTGTGTCAAAGTGGTAGCGAGGAACAAACCTTGCGGCGCCAAGGTCTCTGCGCAGCTTCAGCATGTTCATGAAGTGGGCCTCGTTTTGTTGGCGGTTCTGTGCACACCAATAATTATGAGCAAACGGGTAAGCCAGTACAAATGCGAGCAAGTGGGAAGGGTGAGTGAGTGAGTGAGTGAGTGAGTGAGTGAGTGAGTGAGTGAGTGAGTGAGTGAGTGAGTGAGTGAGTGAGTGAGTGAGTGAGTGAGTGAGTGAGTGAGTGAGTGGGTTGAGTTGCAAGGCAGTTTGTTGGCGTAGCAACCAAGTGCTCAGGAGCATGTTGTGCACACACGCACTAATACACAACAAGTTTAAAACGCTGCACACATACACCTCCACACACCCACACACCCACACACACACCTTTCTGGTCTGCATGCGCTCGACACGGCGACGGAAGGCTATGTACGGATCGCCCTTTGATGAGGCGTCTGGCGCAGAAGTCTTGATCCGCGGCATCAACGTCTCCGCTTTCTGTGGTGCAACCCGTGTATGCACGCACGCATGGCGAAGGTGTGAGTGCCGAGGGCGAGCCAACACGCCAAGGTTAACCCGTAACCACACCCAACTCAAGCAGCAAGCACCGCAAGCACCACAAACACGCACGCGCAGGTACATGCAAGAGAGTGACTGACCACTTGGCCCAGGCGGCGAACGTAGTGTTGGTAAATGGGGTGGAGTGTGTCCTTGTCCAGACCAACAACGTCACATATTCGATCCATGGTCATCTGTGGCCGTTGCACATTTCGTGTGGATTGATGAGGGGTGAGAGGAGTGGCTAAACGTCTTCCACTTGCTGCCGCGCTTGGAGATCCAAGACACGTCTTGCACCCTGAATACACACCAACACGCCACCCTTCACCTACACCCACACCGACACCCACACGCAAACAAACATGTGGGCACATGCAAACTCATCCACCGTGCGTGCACGATGAACGTACGGGGTAGTGTTTCTCGATGGCATCCATCTTCTTCTCAAACTCCAATTCTGCCATTGGCTCCCTGCGAACACAATGCGTAATGCGGTGCACGAAGAGCAACAACACAGCCTTGTGCGTGAGTCAACGGATACTACAACGCCAGCAACAGGAAGCGCGCTGTATGCTGCGGTGGCAATTCATCTGCATCTTCGCCACATTCGGTGCTCAAGACACAGGGGCATTGTATGGCATGTCATGTGTGGGCGCTTCAAGCAGACGTACGTTCTGTTCTTGTTAAACTCGTTCAGCCACTCTTTGTCTTCCTCGTCCATGTCATAGTCGGGAGGTTGTTCCTCAAGAGTTGCCAGCACTATGACCACGCGACAGTGCAAGTACGTCATGAGGCATTGCGCTTGCTGGAAGGGGTGGAGTGGCACGCGAGGAGGCGGTGCACGCGAACCAGACGAAAAAGAAACGAAACCAGACCAGCACAAATGCAACACAGCCCACAAACCAAGACAGAGCCAACGCAGGACTTACGGCTCGGTTTGATGTATGTTGATGGGAGCTTGTAGTCTGGTTTGTGCAGTTGCTTGAACAAGGGGACGCCGTGGGTGATTTCGGGGATTGGGATTTCGAGGTTGAGCTGGGCCAGCGCACCTTTGCGGTTCTTCTGGTCGATGATTTGTTTCACATGAATCTCCTGCACGCATTTCACGCGTTTGCGTTTGCGTGTGTGTTTCGAGCGCGTGTCAGTTGATAGCGGGTGGGTAGTGCGGGGAGTGAGAGACACAGAGGGAGGCAGAGAATGAGGGAGAGGACAAAAAGGGGGTGGGGGGAAGGAGGGAGGGAACACACACACACACACACACACACACACACACACACGCGCGCGCGCGGAGATGAAACGACCAAAACAGCGACAACACACACACCAAAAACAGGCTACTTGAAGGGCTTGCGTGTGGGGTGTGGAAAATTTGTGGGTGGCAGTGCGAAAACACGGGTATGGATGACGCGATCAAGCTTCAAGGACCGTTGCGAGACAGGCTGCGAGCACAGTGGACGCGCTCACCTCCTCTTCCTCCTTCTCCATGCCAGTGGGCATGTCTGGGACGGCGCGGCTCAGCGCCGCTGTCTCCAGCAGCACATCTGGGTGGTCTTCCTCGCGGTAAATCGGCAGCGGCTTGTTGTGGTCAAGCGCTTTTTGCCGAAAGCGGATGCTGCTCATGGTCCAAGGCTATGAGTCAGCACTACTGACGAGGCCACACGGAACAAAAGTTGGTGTGTGTGTGTGGGGGGGGGGGGAAATAAGCGCTTGCTGGTGGGTAACGTGTCAAACAAGAGCGCGTTGTACATGGACCAGCTTGAGCCAGTATAAGACAGGAGGGGACCAACCGCTGAGGAAGGAAAAAAAAAGTTTGTCGACAAAAAGAAAGGCGGGCTTGGCGGGCGGCAAGCCGCCAACAGTAAAGGGGGTTGGGAAATGCGCAGATGAGCGCCTCAACTCGCTGTCAAAGGGTCCACACAAAGGAAAGGGGTGAAGGGAAAGGAAGGGTGTTGGGGAGAGGAAAGCGGTGTTGGGTCCACGATGGAGGGAGCCCCGGGGTCACCAATGGGGGAAGGGATGCACACCGGGCGCAGCAAGTGTGGGCGGGTGGCCGATAACGGCCAGCAAGCAAGCGAGCGAGAGCGAGGGTGAGGGTCTTGCACCAACAACCCTGGTTTTGGCGGGCTTGCAAGCACCGCGTGCGTTCGTCGATGTACGATTCGCACAGGGAACACACTGCAGTGCGCACAAAACCACGCAAGCGACGTATCCACCAAAGCAAAACTGGCAGAAATTTCCAATTCGCTCAGGGTGGGGAAATGTACATTTGCGGCCATTTGGATCAACGAAAAACCGCCGCAACGGAAACATGCCGCGAGAAACTCGAAAACCGCGCGCCTGCTCCTGTTTTGTTTGTGTGTGGTGTGTTCGTGTGTGTGTTGTGTGTTTGTTGTGTGTGTGTTTGTTGTGTGTGTGCGTGTGTGTTGTGTGTGGATGTGTGTTGTGCGCGCGTGTGTGTGTTGTGTGTTGTGTGTTGTGTGTTGTGTGTGTTGTGCGCGTGCGTGTCGAGGATGAGAAAGACTGTCAGGAAGCAAAAGGAAACAGATAGACAGCGAGGCAAATACAAACGACGATCATGATGGAGTGATGGAGTGATGGCAAGACATCAGCAACAAGTACATACGCGGGCGCGCACACAGACACAAACACACACATGCACAGAGACACAAAGACAAAAACACACACAAAAACACAAAGAGGCACAAACACACACAGACACAAACATTCACAAACACACACGCAGAACACAACAAACACACCAAAGAGCAAAGACGCGCGCGGTGATCTGCCATAGCCATGAAGGGCTCCCGTTGTGCTTGCAGCCTAGTCACAGAGCACAAGTGAGCATTCACGCACAGCGCATGGCTTTCCTCCTTTCCTCACGGAGCAAAAGCAGCAGACCTCAAACAGCAACAGCGCACGCAAGGGAAGAAGGGCCGTTGGCCCTTTTGACTTGACTGACATGGAGAGCAGCGAAGCGACGTCCTCGGGGGTGTTGGATTGGATGGCGTCCAATCAACAGTGTCAAACGGTCACTTCGCCGAGCGCGATGAGCAGCGTGCTGGGCACTGCCTTGGGAATGCTACAAGCCAGACAAGCAACAAGGGTGCTGTGAGCAAGTGACACCGCAGCGCGAGACTGCGTGATCTCGGCAGTAGACTTGTGTGACTGTGCGTGCATGTGTTGTGTGCGTGTGTGTGTGTGTTGTATGTGTATGTATGTGTTGCGTGTGTGTTGTATGTGTATGTATGTGTTGTGTGTATGTATGTGTTGTGTGTATGTATGTGTTGTGTGCGTGTGTATGTGTGTGTGTGTGTGTGCACGCACCAGTTCGGATAGCACGGCGTGACAGCAGATGACCTGATGACAGACTCAGTGTGGCCGTTGAGCAAACCCCAAGCAAGGAGTGCGTGACACAGTATCCAAGCCACAACCCCAAAAGTCTAAAAGCTGACCGCAAGCGCATGCCATCTGAGGAAGGCGAAGGCTGTTGAAACATGCGAAGTGTGAGAGAGAGAGAGAGAGTGTGTGTGTGTGTGGAAGCGTATGTGTGTATGTGTGTTTGCGTATGTATGTGTGTGGAAGTGTGTATGTGTGTGCGTGTGTGTGAGTGTGTGTGGAAGTGTGTATGTGTGTGTGTGTGTGAGTTGTGGAAGGTGGGATGCTTGCTTCTTCCACGCTTGCTTGCTGGTTTGTGCCCTGAAGCCTTGAAGTAGGGACAACACAAACATACACACACCAGACCTTCACCTTGAGGTCAGCGGAGAAGAGGCGACTCGCACTTGAACTGCAAGCCTAAGCACTGCCTCCTCCCTCCATTCCTCGCTTCGCGCCATGGTGGTCATTGTCGCGTGTGGTGTGGGGGCTGTCATGTTATTGTGCGCCGCGAAACTTGAAAAAAAAAATCGCTCACATCACAGCAAGCAAGCAAGCAAGCAAACAGGCAGAAACAGGTTGTGGCCGTTGGCGAGTGGTTGGTGTCGGAGATGGAGATGGAGGTGGGATCGCAACAGAGAGGTGCGACAGCTGCCATGCAGCGACAAGGCGCCGCTGGTGACGGTGCAAGGACTTGTGGTGAGGAGGAGGGCGATGTGGAGATTGTGGAGTTCACCTGCGACGACAGTGGCAAGAACTTGCTCGTCTCCAACCTCGACCCAAACGTACGGGATGTGTTTGTGTTGTGTTTGTGTTGTGTTTGTGTTGTGTTGTGTTTGTGTTGTGTTGTGTTGTGTTTGTGTTGTGTTGTGTGAGTGCAGGACGACTCGACAACACTCAGTACGAGACTCAACCTTCATCACACACCAACAGGTTCACTTTGCAGACTTGCAGCGCATCTTCTGTCGGTTTGGCTTGCTGCGTGAGATTCAACTCAAAGAGGTGCGACAGCATTGCTTCACTGCGGCTTCTCGCTCGCTTGTTCACTTACACTCAAAACCGTCTCACACGCTGCCTCGTGCGCTTGCTGCCCTCAGCCTGGCGAGTTTATGCTCACCCGCTTCGCCTTTGTCAAATTCTGCAGCAAATACGAAGCCAGGTACACATGTCTACTATGTGGGTGTGTTGGCGTGTGAAGGGGGGAGCTAGTGTGAGTGTGTGCTCTCGTGTCTGTGCTCTCGTGTCTGTACTTGTCAACGCACATACACACACATTTGCAAACACTCAAACACACACATGTGCAAACAATCAAACACACACACATATGCAAACAAACAAACACGCACGCACGCACACACACGCACACACACACACACACACGCACACACACACACACACACACACGCACGCACACACGCACGCACGCACACACGCACACGCACACACACACACACACACACACACACACCACACCCTTTTTGTTCAGGAAAGCCAAACGTGCAGTGCACCGCCGTGTGAAGCTGCGAGGACGCTACGTGCACGTGAGCATGTGCACGCGAGAGCGCAAGTATGACATCCCGCTCTCCCCGTCCTTCTCCGTGTCCATGCTGCACCACTACCTCGGTGTTGGATCTGTCAGCATGGAGGTGGCATATGTGGACCAGGCGGCACTGCGCCACACTGCGTTTTCCTTCTTCGCACAACAACAACAACAACAACAGCAGCAGCAGCCAGCACAACGGCAGCGCGGTCGGCAAGCAGCACCAGCCATGCCACAAGCACCCGCAGCCAGCCAACGCCAATATCACTCACACAACCTCTCCCCGGTGTGTGCGTGTGTGTATGTGATGGGGGACTTTTCTGTACGAGCATGTGGCTCATGCTAGCTTGCTTGTATCGTGGCTGCACGAGCGTATCCACGTCATATGTGTTGTCTGTGTCGGTGTTCTTGTCAAAGATGCAGCAAGTGCCATCCCTATGCTCTTCCTTCTCTCACATGCGGTATCACACCATCACCACACGACACCGTTTCTGCTGTGTTGACAGGCCCAGGCCGAGGAGGTTCACGCCGCCCTCACGAGCCACGCGCACGAAGACCGCAACCACAGCCCGCCCCACGAACACACAGCTGCCACTGCCAACGGCGACACGAAACAAGATGAGGCAGAGGCAGTGGAGGCAGAGGAGGACACGCTGCTGATTGTGGTGTGCGCCCACGTGACCACGTTACCATCACCGGTGTACGGCGGGTGCCTGCAATCCATGCTGCCAGACTTGCTGCAGCGGCAGGTGCGTGCGCCGTTCACCCCCACGCGCTGCCTGGAGGTCGCACACAAGCTTGCCCACACCAACGCCGCCAAGAACGTCTTTGAGCAACTTCGCCTCGTGCGTGTGTACAGCGGTGCACGTGCTGTGCGCTGGGTGCCGGCCATTGCACCGCTCCCGCCGTCCCGCCTACAGCGCCTCATCCAGTCGTACCTGCAGCTGCTGGAGCACGGGCCAGCAACGGCAGACACCATCGTGCGTGCAATTGAGCGCGCGTGTGTGAGTGTGTTTGTGCGTGAGTGTGTTTGTGTGTGTGTGTGTGAGTGTGTGTGTGAGTGTGTGTGTGTGAGTGAGAGTGAGAGAGAGAGTGTGTGTGTGAGTGTGTGAGTGAGTGTGTGAGTGTGTGCGTGTGTGAGTGTGTGAGTGAGTGAGTGTGTGCGTGTGTGAGTGTGTGTGTGTGTGCACTTCACCTGCCTCTCTGTGCAGTCACCGCGTGTCTCCCTAACACCATCACATCGGCTCATAACGTTCACGACTCACCCATCTCACCCCTCGTGCCCGTGGCTGCGGTTATTTTCAGATTGATCCGTTTGTCGACGTTCCAGACGACCATGACGACGGCAATGACGATGCAGGCGAAGGTGAAAGTGAAGGTGACGGCGACAAACTGTGACTTTGTCGGCAATGGCCAGCGGTGCAACACACACGCACATACGCACATACGCACACACACACACACACACACACACACACACACACACACACACACACACACACACACACACACACACACACACACACACACGCACATACGCACACGCACACACACACACACACACGCACATACGCGCACACACCACACGCAGACATAAACACCTACACCTTCTTGCCCTTCATCTTCTTCTCTCTTCTCCGACCTAGTGCCCGTGACTCTACTGTTTTGCTCCTGTTCCTGACTATTGTGACTGCTGCCCCTTCCTCCATCCACTTGCCCCACCGGCTTCAATCGAGTGTGTTTCGATCGTGGCAATGGCCGACAGCGTGGTGTACTTGAGCTACAAAAATATCTATACACATGTGTGCGTGGTTGAGCTACCAACCTAACTGACCCAGTAAACGGAAACATCCAACAACGAAAGACAACCGAAAAAGCTGCAGGTACAACACGTTTGCTGTGCTCCCTGTCGTACCAAAAGGCAATAATATGTACAGCCAGTGCAATGGTTTGCATGTGCGCACATTACTGCAGTGCACCTGGGGTTGATGCAGCGAGTGCATGAACACCACGAAGCTAAAAACCAGGCATGCACTCACCACTCTCGTATTCACACTTTAACCACGCGACCCACCACCATCACCACCACCTCCAACTATTACATCCCTTTCCTTCATTCTCGTTATCGCTGCTATCTCATCTCGAGCTTGCGCGTGTGTGCGTGTGCGTCGTCGTCTTCAATTCTCGATCCGTCCCCCTCAGCTTTCAGCTCCACATCCGCTGTTCAGTCGCATGCACATGAATGAGCAAGGAAGTTGAGTTGAGTTGAGTTGAGTTGAGTTGAGTTGAGTTGAGTTGAGTTGAGTTGAGTGAAAGAGTTTGGAAGCGCAGAACACTCGCTATGATTCACAAACGCTGCGTGGGTTTGTGCATGTGTACAAGTCATCACTCACATGTGTCTGCAACGAACGATGCGTTGAAGACGTGCTGTTGCGTGTCATCTGTCAGCGAGTACATGCGCCCATCGTGCCGCTTGCGGTCTGTTGCACGCAGCGAAGGCGCAATGGGTGCGTGGAAACGAGTGTGTGCGAGTGTGTGCGAGTGTGTGCGTGTGTGTGCGTGCGTGTGTCACCGAGTGTACAACATTGTTGTTGTTTAAGTTGTTGTTTAAGTTGTTGTTTAAGTTGTTTAAGTTGTTGTTGTTTAAGTTGTTGTTGTTGTTGGTGGTGGTGGTGGTGTGATTGTTATAAACACAGCAAGCACCTCACATTCCTGGTCGCAGGGTGTGTGCAAGCGACAGCAACAGGCATTGCACGTGCTGCGCACCTGGAACGCTCATGGAGACGAAGAGCGCCACAAAGACGGACACACACCCAATCAGGAACGGGCTTCCGGGAAACGGAACAAGCGGCCGGTTGCCGCCTTCCTGATCCAGCGGCACCTCCGTGTACTGAATTGGTGGCACGTGGCAGACGACGTGTCGTGGCAAAATCGTGTGTGTGTGTGTATTTGTGTGTGAGTCAGTATTTGTTTGTTGGCAAAGGAGGTGAGTGGAAAAGGGTGGCGAACGAGGTGGTGTTCATCTACTGGACAGTGTGCATGCGACACGTGAGAGCATCACCACCATCACTATCCATCACGCCGACCTTCACTCGCACCACCACCACCACCACCACCACCATCGCAGACCTGGAAGAGGGCGCCAAAGACGGCTGGGCCGAGACCCGTGCACAGGCTGCGAATCCCGGTCACCATGCCTTGAACAGCACCCTTCATGGTTGAAGAGACGGTGGTGATGAGCACAGGCATTGGAGTTAGAGCTTGGGGTCGGCTTGAACGGGGATGTAAACACACAAAACATACGCACACACGCACATAACACACACACACACACATAACACAGACAGACACAGACACAGACACAGACACAGACACAGACACAGACACAGGCACAGACACAGACACGCAAACGCGCGAACAAACCCACACAGCGCACCTGCTGGCCTGGCGCTGCTGTCTGGGAGAGGAGGGCTGAGACGGCGGGATAGTTAAGGCTGCTGAAGGCGAGCAGCCCGCCCGTCATGAACAGCGCCCACTTGGTCGTCACCACCCCATACAGCGCAAGCTGCAGCGACGTGAGATTGGAGACGAGAGGGAGCGGAGGGGAGGGGGAGAGAGTGTGTGCGCGAGTGTAACCGTGAGTGGCGGCGGGAAGAATGGGTGAAGGCGGTCGACGGGCATCGCACAGACGGACGCACAAACACGAACACACACAGGCACAGACACAGACACGAACAAGCAAACAAAAACAAAACAAAACAAAAAACCAAAATAAACAAACTAACAAGCAAACAAAGCAAAACAAAACAAAACAAAATAAAAGCAAACAAACAAGCACACCAAAGCAAAATAAAAGCAAAACAAAAGAAAACACCATCACAGTGGCAGACCTGGCATGCCTGGGCGATGAGGCCGGCGATGATGACGGATTTCTGCGACATGCTGTGGGACATGGTGGACAGCACATACCTGCAGCACGGACGGGGGTTGAGGTTGCATGCATGGGGGGGGGGAGGTGCACAGTTTGGAATGAGAGAGGAAGAACACAATACAACCCACCAGCACTGATGGGCACTCAGTTCAACAAGACAAGGACAAATAGGAGACAGACAGATAGACAACACACGGTAAGACAGACACAAAACGCAGGCACAATACAAGACAAATGCACACACACACACAGACAGACAGACAGACACACACACACACACACACACGAAACATACACACGAAACATACACACGAAACATACACACACACGAAACACACACAGACACACACACACACATGAACGAACGTTTGCGCGAGAATGGAGAGGATGCCAACACCGGCAATGAAACCAGCGAGATCGGGCTTGGAGAAGCCGATGCTCTGCAGATACAGCATCAGGCACTGGTACTGGCCCGCCTCAGGCAGGTAGCTGCAAGGGGGTGTTGTTGTTGTTGGTGGTGGTGGTGTCGGTGTGTGGAGGAGGTGAGTGTGATAGAGCGTGTGAGTGTGATAGAGTATATGTGAGAGAGTATTTGTGTGAGTATGAGGAGAGGGTATGGATGAGCGAGTGTGAGTGAGCGTGCGTGAGCGTGCGTGAGCGTGTGTTAGCATTTGTGAGCGTGAGTTTGTCAGACGGTGAGTGAGGATATGTGTGCATGTGTTGTGTACGAGGTGCTCTTCACGAAACAGCGGCACTCATGCAAGCGCAAGCACACGGACACACCTGAAGAAGACGATGACCGACCACTTGAGCATGTACACGTTGCTGAACACAACCTGACGTGGCAGGAGAGAGATTGCAATGCGTGAGAGGTGAAGCATGCACATGCAGAGCAACTGCACGCCCAAAAGAACGCACAGACACACAGACACAGACACAGACAGAGACAGATACAGACACACACGCATTCACACACACACACACACACGCATTCACACACACACACACACACACACACGCATTCACACACACACACACACGTGTGCCTCAAGCTCACTTTGAGCGATGAAAACGGGCTGGCAATCTGCCATGAAAATGTTTTCTTCTGCACCTCCGATGGGGGCACGGACTGAGGATGGTGTTGGGTGCGACGGTCATATGGCTGCAGGTGAGGACGACGACAGGCCTCGAATCAAACAACACACACACACACACACACACACACACACACACACAATACATTCGAGGCGTATAAAGCACACAGCGCGTGCACATGCAAATGCAGATACACACAGACACACACACAAGACCCCGGCAGCCAACCGGCTTTACCTCTGGGACGAAGAGGGCGATGAAGAGGACGTCGATGGCGGCGATGATGGTGCTGACCGCGCAGACGAAATGAACGCCATACAGTGACTGCAGCAGGGAGCCGAGCGCAGGGCTGATGACAAGGCTGGCAGCAAAGGTGGCGGACACCTGCCCAAACGCCGCACTCCGCTCCTCCTCATTCGTCACGTCGGACACATACGCAAAGACGATGGAGAAGGTGACGGCAAACACGCCGGAGAAGGCAACAACTAGCACGTGCCACCACAGGTTGGCGATGAGCAGGAAGGGCAGGGGTAAGCAGGTGGCGCCCACAGCAAGGAGGAGGAACCGCTTTCGCCCAGAGGTGTCTGAGAGAGCACCCAGGACCGGCGCACTGAGGAAGGAGAGAAACCCTTTCAGCCCCTGTGTCAGCCCAAGCACCATCCACTTGCTCTCCGGCCCAAAGAAGTCCGCAAACGCCTGCACGCGCGTGTGTGAATGAGTGAGGCGCGGAATGCAAGGGAGAGAAATGTGTGTGTGTGTGTGTCAGTGAGCATGAGAACATACGTCCATGTGAAGATCTGTGTGTGTGTGTGTGTGTGTGTGTGTGTGTGTGTGTGTGTGTGTGTGTGTGTGTGTGTGTGTGTGTGTGTGTGTGCGTGCGTGTGTGCGTGCGTGTGACGGAGAGCGCGTCTCGCTCAACCAACAACCAATTGACCACCCAACAAATTCCCCACCCGCCGTTCACACCTCAGCATCACCCATCTTCTCCCTTCTTAGTTCCTCTTCTCCTGGTGCAGCACCTCTGGGAGGATGGTTGTGACGAGCCCCCACGCAAAGAACTCGAGGAAAATGACGACGGTGATGTAGTTGACATATGACTGCGATGTCATCTGTCAGCGCCACAGCAACGCAGTGGAGCAAGCGAGATATGGTGGGAGGAACCACGGTGAGGTGAGAGAATGGCAAACAGCCGAGTTGCTGGTCGCCAGCAACGGCAGCGCCAGCTGGGCTGCACTGCGTCCTCAAAGATGCAAACAGCTTGACGCACAACCAAGCACCTTCACACGTTGATGCCTACAGGCAGACAGAAATACAGAGAGACAGACAGAGAGACAGACAGAAATACAGAGAGACAGACAGAGAGACAGACAGAAAGACAGAGAGACAGGCAGACACACAGGGGGAGAGAGAGAGAGAGAGAGAGACAGAGAGACAGACAGGAATACAGGCCACCACCACCACCACCACCACCACCACCACCACCACCCCACCACCACCACCACAGAAACACACGCTGCAGAAAGAATACCTTGTCTGGGTTTGTCATCATGCGGCAGCGAAGGCGACGGCTGAGCCACCGCCCAAAACCGGAGCAGCACGCACTGACTGCGCCAGCACACGTCGACGCCGCTGATGACGATGACGTGCGCCGAGATGACTTGCGCTTGCGAGCAGATGCAGAGGTGGAGGAAGATGAAAGAGAAGCCCCCGCCCCTGGCAGCGCAGACATGACGGCGGCGGCAGCTGTTGTTGTTGCCGATGCTGCTGCCTTTGATAGAGAGGCGGCGGTTGTTAGCCCAGGCCCGTTGCTTGCGGAGGCGGGGAGCGGGGCAGCGCCAACCACGGCCCCGCTGTCGGCACCGCCCATGACGTGCACATGGTCCTGTGCGCATGCCGCACACGCCTGGTGCCCCGCGCGGTCCTTTGTCAGCGCTGGATTGGCACTGCAGGTGCATACGGCCTCGGGGTGGTCACCTGGCGGCGCAGCTACGGTGGATGTCGTGCGGGCACGGATGGTCGCCGACGACGCGGTGCTGTTGCCGTTTGATCCATCGATAGGCAGTGCATGCGACATGTGTGCTGTTGCATCTGCACGCATGTCGTGATTCGATCCCACGTTCATCAGTATTGCGTCGTCGTTGTGCTCGTCGTGGTGGTGGTGATGGTGGTGCTGTGGCAGGCGGTGGCTGGCATGTCGGTGGCGGTGGTGGTGATCGCTGTCATCATCGTGTGACTGCAAGCGGATGTGGCGCTGGCGTTTTCGCGGCAGCAGTGCCCACACCGCTTTGAGCAACCCCATCAGTCAATGCTGGATCAGATGGAAGGGAAAGAGTAGGAGGGGGGAGGGGAAGAGGGGAAGAGGAGAACTGGTGCTCGGCGCATATGTATGTGGATGTGTGTTTTCTGCGTTTGCGTGGGTGGATGCGTATGTGTGTTGGGGTATGTGTGTGTGTGTGTGGTTGTGTTTGTTTGTGTGCCGCTGGGGAGGGTCAGTTGTTCCAGTTCAGAGACCACTCGTCTCCTCTCTGGTCGTGCGTGTCCGAGTGTTGTTCGTCTGTCTTGCTTGTCGTTGATGCCAAGAACAGCAACCAACAGCAACCAAGCAATGAAAGGTGGCCTGCACGCACACACAAAACAGACAGCAACTTGTATTTTTGGTGTCACGACTGAATTCAGTCTCGACTATGGCATGACTCATTTCTCGCTCTCGCTTGCTCTGTTTGTGCTCGCTCCACAAGACACAAGCAAAAGACAGACAGACACACAACCTCTGGTTCCTCCGTGTGACACACACACAGACACAGACACAGACACAGACACATAAACACGCACACCTCCCCCCGACACACACACACCGACGTGCATGGCGGAGCACACGAAGCTGTTGCACAAGCAGGGCGCAGGGCCGCAGCAGCGGTTTGGTGGCGGTGGCGGCATGATGGACAAGCCCAGCGTGTGGGACCAGGACCGCCCGCACGAGGGTGCGCTGGAGCGCGACATCGAGGACGACGATGGCGGTGGTGGTGCTGATGATGGTCAATATGAAAACCGCGGCAGAAACTTGGAGGCAGGGGCGGCCGCCTTTGCCAACAATGCCCGCGCCAACAGCAACCACCACGTGCACAGAGAATCAGAGCGCCAGCGGCTGTTGGATGGCACCGAGGATGATCCGCCAGAGGCGCTCCTCTTCATGTGCTGTCCGTCGCCTGACTCCTGGACACAGGCATTTTGCGTGTGTGCCCTTGCCACCGTGCTGACCATTTTGGCGACTGCCCTTGTCGGCTCTGCCGGCAACAACAAATACGCACCCAGCACCTTTGTCCAACGCGTCACCTACCAACAAGTGTGTGCGTGTGTGTTTGCGTTTGTAGGTGTGCGTGTGTGTTTGTAGGTGTGCGTGCGTGTAGGGTTGTGGTATGCGTGTATAAGGGTGCAACTTTGTGTGTGTGTGTGTGTGTGTGTGTGTGTGTGTGTGTGTGTGTGTCTGCCTGCCTGTCTGTCTGTCGGTCTGTCCGAGTGAGTACGTTTCGACTGGTTGTTTTAGTTGCTGTGCCCGCTTGCTTTTCCACCACCACCACCACCACCACTGACACCACCACCACCACTGACACCACTCATCACCAACACCCTATTTCACCACCTCACGACCACGGCCACCACCCCTGCCACTATTGCGACCACCCGATGCAGCTGTATGACCACTTGCACGAGCTGAATGCGACTGCAGCGAGCACGCCAGATGGCCCGCCGTCCCGGAGTGTCCTGTACGGGTTCAACCGCAGCGCCGCATATGTGGAGGCGCAGCTTGAGCCCCATCGCGCCGGGCTCACCAACGTCACCCGACAGTACTTTGAGGCGCCCGTGTGGGAGGACAGGGGCAACCACACCATGACCGTGGCCAGTGGCAGCATCACCCTACACCTCCACCCCTACGTCGAGTTCCAGCCGCTCCGCTTCTCCGGCGGGACAGGCGACCCCATATCCGCGGTTGCCGTCAACTTTGACGGCGCCGCGTGCACGCGAGCGGCGTTTGCTGCGGCGAGCGGCAAGGTGGCGGTGGTGCCAGACACCAGCACGTGCAGCAACCTGTACCAGCGAGCGCGGGCAGCACAGCAGGCTGGCGCCGTGGCCATGGTGGTGTACCGAGAGCAGGCGGATGCCATGCTGCCCAACGAGCGCGTGCGAGACCCGACGTGGGCGTACAACGCCTCGGTCCCCTTTGTGCAGATCCCTGTTGTTGGCGTGGTGCACTTGCTAGCTGCCGCAGTTGCCGATGGGGTGCAGGTGAACATGACGGTCAACGCAGCAAGTGCCGTTGTGGAGACATTCAACCTGCTTGCTGTGCGCCAGGGCACGCTGCCGTACGCGGTTGTTGTTGGCGCCCACCTCGACAGCGTTCCGCGTGGGCCCGGCATCAACGACAACGGCTCTGGCGCGGCGGTGGTGCTGGCCATGGCGCAGCAGATTGCGCGCTTCAACCTCCGCCCAACCCTCACCGTCATCTTTGCCTTCTGGTCAGTCACTGCGATTGGTGTATGGTGCGGGGGGGGGGGCGTGTGCGTGGTGGGTGGAGAGGGGAGGTGATGGGGATGGGGTGTAGGTGTGTGCATCTTGTGGTCTTTCTTTGGCGACCACGAAATGGGTCGATGGGACACACCCAGAAAAACGCACGCACACATGAATGCATCTACTCATCCACATCCACACACGCACACACACCCACGCACACACCCTCCCGCACACACCACACCACCACACCACACGCACATGTTGTGCAGGGGCGCTGCTGAGGAAGGGCTGCTTGGGAGCGGGTACTTTGTGTCGAAGCTCAACTCCAGCGACACCCCAGTCCATGAGCCCGTCATTGCCAACATCAACGTGGACACGTTGGCCAGCCCAAACTACGCGCGCTTTGTGTACGAGGGCTCTCTGCTGCCGCCGGGCACGGCGCGTGCAGGATCCATCTTCCTGCAGCAGCAGTTTGAGGCGTATTTTTCCGCCAACTTGGAGGCGTTTGAGTACATGCCCTTTGTCACCAAGGAGACGGACATTGACGGCTCAGACTACCTCCCCTTCTTCCTCCACGGTGTGTATTGTGTTGTGTGTTTCGTGTTTCGTGTGTGTTTGCGCGTGAGTGAGCGTGTGAGTGAGTGTGTGTGGGTGTGAGTGAGCGTGTGAGTGAGTGTGTGTGTGTGAGTGTGTGTGGGTGTTTGCCTGTGTTTGCTGGCGTTTGTGTGGTTCACATTTTTCCCCGCTCACACGCACACACACACACACACATACACACACACACACACACACACACACACACACACACACACACACACACACACACACACACACACACACAGGGATTGCTGTTGGCGGGGTGACGGCTGGAACGACGTCACTGAAGAACATCAAGCAGCGGTCGCAGTTTGGCGGGCTCTCTGGCGTTCCCTTTGACCCGTGCTTCCATCGCGCATGCGACACGTTTGAGAACGTCAACATGTTTTCGTTGTTGAATCTCGGGCACGCCACCGCCTATTCGCCCACGCCACCTTGCTCAACCTGTGCGGCCTCGTGTGCAAGCTCTCCTCCAAGATGGAGGGCGTGCACGACGTGATGGTGGAGTGCGTGCGCCACAACTACTTTGACGCCTTTGTGCAGGGCTTCTACCACACCTCCCGAACCACCATCGCCGACCTGCCCACGTCGTCAAGCACAATCCGCTCCAACCACAGCACCTACCCCTTTCTCAAGTTCTTCGAGCACATCTTCGCCGCACGTAACCTCCTGTACGAGCTCAGGTTCCGCCTGCGTAGCGGTGCTCCTCTCCCGCGCACGTTCAACGGCGCTGTGGGTCAATCCTCCAAGGACCAAGTGCTGCAGATGTACGAGACGGGGCTCGATCGCTTCGATCGCCTCATTGGCAAGCACGTCGCCTACCGCATGTTCTGCCTCTTCCTCGACGCCTTTGGCAAGCTGGGTGATGTCTTGCGTCAGGGCATTGAGGACGCGCTGGAGGCAGAGCGACACGAGGACAAGCAGCTCGTGCGCGATGGCAGCAAAGGTGATGGCGAGGACGCCGGTGACACCAAGGACGACGATGATGATGACGACGACGACGACGACGACGATGGCGATAATGGTGATGGTGACAGCACGGAGGGCAACAAGGAGCAGAAACAAAAGGAGCAGGGAGGCACTGTGGAGAAGTTCAAAGCCATCAACACGAGGCAGAAGGAGGAGTGGGTGCTGTGCTTGAGCCAGGGCGTGTCGCAGCTGACCAAGTCCCTCAGCTCGATGGTGGTGTTTGCCAGTGACCTGCCGTACGCCGCGCCAGAGCTCATGCTCATTGTGGAGCAGGCGGTGACCAACACCACCAGCAAGACGGCCCAGGCCTTCCAGCACCGCACCTCGGAGCGGGTGATTGAGCTGCTGGCCAACATCACGGAGCACGCCGTCGTGCGCGATGTCTCCGATGCCGCAGACGTGCGCGTGTCTGGCCAGCTGAGCGAGGAAGGGAAGAAGGTGTACCCGTACCTGCGCAAGGTGGAGCTTGTCTCCTCCGTCATCTTCCAGGCCAACCCCGTGCCCGTGCTCGTGTCCCTGCTGCGCGGCCGCAAGCAGCACAACAACGTCTTCCGCACCACCGCCCAGCTCAGCACCCAGATGGCCTGGTTCACGAGCGCCCTGCGTGCCCTGGCCAACCTGGCCAAGTCGAAGAAGGAGCACCGCCTGCGCATCGTGCACGAGGGTCTCGTTCCCGTCCTGCTCCGCTTCCTCATTGTCGGCAACCTCAAGCTGCGGCACAACGCCACGCGCTGCCTCAACGAGACGCTCAAGTTCACGCCGGAGAGCGTGGAGCAGTTTGTCAAGGAGCAGGGCCACCTCACCGTGCTGCGCTTGGCCCAGGAGGCCACGAACAAGGCCATCACCAGCGTGGACACCCGTCTCGAAGGCATCCTCTTCAGCGTGCTCGGCGCCGTGTGCTCTGTGCCCGCGGGCGCCAACGCCCTGCTTGACGAGCCAGACTTTATGGAGCTGCTCTCCAACGCTGCACTCGAGCAAAAGGAGCTGTACACATCCGGTGGCGGCCTCAGCGGCGCGCGCCTCAACATGTGCGACAAGGTCAACCTGCTCTTCCTCCTGCTCACAGAGCTGCAGTTCCCGGCCAGTCTCAAGGAGGTGCAACAGCACCTGTCAGGCTTGCACGTGCAGCTGTCGCGCTCGCGCGAGTTCCGGGACAGGCACCACAGGGTGAGCGTCAAGATTGGGCGGGACAACGACAAGGCGCAGCGCCGGGCCGATAGCGCGCGGGATGAGGCTCTCGACATGAACGAGGACGATCCAGACTCGCAGCCGGAGCACGAGAGCGACCGTGACTCGCTCCAGGCCGGCGAGCTCTCCTCGCGGGATGGCGTGCCCTTGTCCAAGTTTGAGACGTATGTGTACCAGCTGGCCGAACTGGCCAAACTGTGCGCCGAGGATGAAGCGGACACAGCAAAGGCGGTGGCCGCTGGCACGCGCATCTGCTTCCTGTCGTATTCCTGGAAGCACAAGACTCGCTTCAAGCAGCTGGAGCACGCCCTCAAACAGGCTGGCTTCACAGTCTGGCGCGACGAGAACGAGATGGGCAAGGTGCGCGTGCGTGTGTGTGTGTGTGTGTGCAGGCTGGGCAGTGGTTGTCGTTTTCGCATTGTGCGTGCGTGCGTGTGTGCGTGTCTTGTGTAACCTTGTGTTCGTGGGTAATTGTGTGCACGATTTGCGTATGCGTGTGTGCGTTGCAGTGTGCCGTGTATGGTGCGCTCTTATCTCACCTCCCCATCTCACATCTTGTCACATTATTATTTGACTGGTTGCGAGTGCAGAAGGACAGCATCCTTGAAAGCATGGGCGACGGCATTCATGGGTCTGCGTGCGTGATCATCGACTACTCGCCAGAGTATGCCGAGTCGCACAACTGCCGCAGCGAGCTGCACTACGCCCACAAGAAGCGCAAGCCGCTCTTCTTCGTCAAGACGACGCGTGCGAACGTACGTTCTTGTGGTAGCTTCTGTCAGGTGCTTTTGCTTGAAGCGGCGATGGCCACAACCTCTTCGCGTCTGTCCGTCTTTGTTTCGGACATGCCAACGGCATCTCACGTTCTGTTCAAAACACACACACACACACACATACACACACACAACACAACACACACACAAATGCACATAAACACACACACAACACAACACAACACAACACAACACAACACAACACAACGCAACACAACACGCACGCACACACAAACAAACAAACAAACGTACGCGCGCGCAGCCACCGGACGGGTCCTCGCTTGACTTTGCCCATGGCAGCCACCTGTATGTGGACTACTCCAAGGTCAACTCCGGCACAGATTACCGCCGTCTCAACCAGCAGCTGTGCAACCAGATTGAGGCACGCCTCAAACTCCCGCCATCCGAGATCACAGACGCCGGTTGGGGATTTGAGGAGACGCTCGAGAACTTCCTCTCGTATGCGGGCGTCACCCACGAAGACTCGCACCAAGCGCTGTCCATCCACGGCGTCAAGACGTACGCGCTGCTCAAGTCGCTGTCACGCGAGGAACTGCGTCATATGGGCGTAATGATGAGCGACGTCGTTGCCATCATGGACAAGCAGAAGACATTCAAGCCGTCGGAGTTTGGCGGCTCGTCGGAGTTTGGCGGCTCGTCGCAGTCTGGCGGTCGTCCGTCTGCTTCGTCGTACTCCAGCACGTACACCACCAGCCTGCCGTCAAAGGTGCAGCTGTCAACGCAGCAAGAGCATGAGCAGGCACCGCCACCATACCGCTCTGGGCACTCGACCAGAGAGCGCCCACTCCCGCCAACGCCGAGCACGGCGCCGGCCACCAGCGCTGCGCAGTCGGCTTACTCCACGTTGCAGCGTGATCCATCGTTCACCGCCCCGCCAACACGCCGCGCCACACAGCGCCAAGGTGCGTGTGCATTGTGTTTGTATGTGTGGATGTGTGGATGTGTGTGTGTATGTGTGGATGTGTGTGTGTGTATGTGTGGATGTGTGTGTGTGTGTGTGCGTGTGTGTGTATGTGCGTGGGTTGTCGACACTGTTGCCACTAGTTTGGCGTGTGTGGCGCGTTCTCATTCACGCCTTCATTCACGCCTTCATTCACGCCTTCATTCACGCCTTCCCCATTCGCTTGCCTGTCGCAGACGATTTTGGCTTCGAAGGCTCCGAAGACGCCGTGTTTGATCTGGATGAAGCGTAAACCAATCACCACAAATCCTCCATTCGCCTCGGTGCTCATGTTGTTACCCACGCCCACCTCTGCCTTCTTCCATCTTGTTACACATACCAACAGTCAACGTTCCGCAATGTTTGGAGGAACTGCCGCTTTCTCTTCCTTGTGCTCTCTCTGCCTTTGGTGCTTTCTTCACTGGCTGCCGATGTTGTTGTTTGTTGGTCGACACCCGCATGCTTGCTCATCGTGTTGGTGTTGAGATGCTTGCTTGCGTTTGTCTTCCTCGTGCCTTCCTGCTTTTGGTTTGCCTGTTTGTTTCTTCAACTTACCCCACCAAACTGTGTTGCTGTCCTGTTGCCCTTGTCGTTTGTTCTGCGGCCTCTGTTCATGCATTTGTTCTCACGTTGCCTGAATGTGCGGTGGTTGTGATGCCCTCACTCATCACGCTCTCACTGCACATCAACCACACCACATGCACGCGCCTTTCGTTGCCCACACACACGCACACGCACACACACACACACACACACACACACACACACACACACGCGCGCGCGCCTTTCGTTCGTTACACCCCCTCCTACCAATACACACAGCACGACACAATCAGCAGCCACGTCCAACGTGTCTTGAAGCTGTTTTACAAATACGACTCGAAACTGGATGGTGTCAACCGCACACATCCGTCAACAAAAGAAAAAAAAAAGTCAGAGCAAGCACAGCTGCAGCAAGTAAACGTGCACAGCGTGCGCCCGCAAACAACAACTTAAACAACTTAAACAACAACAACAACTTAAACAACAACAACAACAACAACAACAACTTAAACAACAACAACAACTTAAACAACAACAACTGAGACAACAACAACTTAAACAACAACAAATAAGCAAGCAAGGGCAGACATATATGTTGCGGTTCTTCGAATAATGGTCAGGTTGTGCTGGCTGTGGTGGATGGATGGAAATAGAGATAAAAGCAGAGGAAAGGGAATCGCAACAATAATCAAAGCAGCAGGATCCGTGCATCTGTTGCACGTGATGCTGGTGGTGGAAAGTGGCGCACGAGGGCATCAGTGGCTCTTGCCAAACACGTCTTCCGTCCACAGCGTCTGCAAGTGTGCATGTGTGTACATATATATGTGTGTGTGTGTTTAAGTGGGAAATTGGGAAGGTGAGAAAGGAGACAACAAGAGCGAGGTGACCATGAAACAAGTGGCAGGGGGGAACACGCCAGCAGATTTGAGGCTGAGAGGACCAGTTACACATCAACACTTTGAGCACGCAAGCGCAATGACAAGCAGGCAGACGGACAGATGAACAAACGAGCGGACAGATACACAGACAGACAGACAGACAGACACACACACACACACAGAGACAAACACACACACACACACACAGACACACACAAATTCTACCACCACCATCTCATGCGCACCTGTAGGAGGGCCATGGAAGGGTCACGGCGGCGGCGGGAGCGGCGAACAGGCTGCTGCGACCCCAACTCGTCTCCGTCTCCGTCTCCGTCTCTATCTCCATCTCCATCTCCGTCTCCGTCTCTATCTCCGTCTCCGTTGATCTCGCCACCCTCCATCGCAGCAGCGCCATCGGTTGCAACGACGTTGATTGCAGCATCACCACAGTCGCCGTCAGCACTCGTGTCATCAGTGTTGGCTGTCGTGGTCGTCGCTGTGATTGTCGTTGTGGCTTGACCATCGCCTTCAGCCGCAACAGCAGAAGCACCATTGTTGCTGCCCGTCTCCTTGGCTTGTTGCTGCTGTTGCTCATGTGTTTGCTCTTTCTCTTCCTGCTCGGGTTGCTCGGCGTATTCTGGCTGCTCGGCAGTTTGCATGCAAGCATTCGCTGCGCTGCACGCCACCTGCACGCTCGCATCGGCCTGGCAAGAAGAAGAGGGACCAGGTAAGACGTGAGGGAAGCAGAATACCAAGTGTTGTCAGAATTCCCACGGCGTGCATGCGTGCATGCGTGCGTGTGTGTGTACCTGCGGTGGGCGGCGGGCTGCTGCGAGTACCCGTTCGAGGTACTAATGATGGCGAGGGTGGAGAGGAGGCGATGATTGCGCGTGAACAAGACCAATTAGTTCGAATAGGCGGAGTACATCGACAAGTAAATGCACGGGCACAGACAGACAGAAAGATAGACAGACAGACACAGGCACACACCCACACCCACAGACAGACAGACAGACACACACAGGCACTCACCCACACCCACAGACAGACAGACAGACAGACAGACAGACAGACAGACAGACAGACAGACAGACACACACCCACACCCACACACCCACCCACACCCACACCCACACTCACTCCCCCCCCCCACGACACACAAAGCAAAGCTCACGTTGATGCGAGAGATGAGTTCAAACTTGAAGCGGAACGTCGGATTCGTCTGTGATTCGTCGTGCGGCCACACCGCCACCGCCGCCTCTTTCGGATTGTAATCGCGCCGCTCGCACCGTATGCACAGCCTATCGTGTGCGCAGGAGTTGGGTGACACACGCAAACATACACAGGGACGTTTCCAAAGTGTACATGCGAGCAGACGTGAATGGAAGCGTGTGTATGAGTGAGCAAGCAGCAATGGCGAGAAACAAAGCACCAGTATGCGAAGGTCAAACAGAGGACAGTGGAGATGGTATAAGGGAGCGGCGGGGGAGGAGGTGTGGCACATACCGTGGCTTTGGGAGGGTGGAAGCACACTTGCCGCACAGCGTAGATGTGCCTGATTCGTGTGATGATGGTGGAGAGTTCCAAGAATGAGGGCAATGCAAAGGAAAGGAAGAGGACAATGTTTGTGCAACAAAACCGAGTCAAACTGCACATAGACAGACAGACAGGCAGGCGCGCACACACACACACACACACACACACACACACACACACACACACACACACACACACACACACACACACACACACACACACACACACACACACACACACCCTTGTTGATCTGGGCGGATGGGTCGAGCAGGTGCGGAAGTGGTGGTGCAGACGGTGGGTTGGTGCCACGAACAGCAGCAGCACCAGCAGCAGCCGTGCTGATAGTCGTTGCAGTCGTGGTCGCGGGCGGTGCTCCGTGCAACGACGCCGACAACGGCAGCGGCGGCGGGTCGCGTGTGAGCGGGGGGCAGTATGGGGTGACCGGGTTGGTCGGCTCGTCGCCGCCCACAAAGTCGCGGGGAGCAAACGGAATGCGTGCTTGCAGCGCATACAGCGACGTGAAGAACGCCTGGCAACACCACACGTCGGGATATGGGAAGAGGAAGAGGAACAAGCAAGAGCATGGCGCGGTGTGAGTTTGTGCGTGTGAGTGTGATTTTGCGCGTGTGTGTGTGTTTGGGTGAGCGCCGCAGCGCAATCATGGTGAATGGAAAGGTATCGGAATGCAATCGTGCTTGCAGGCAAACGTGCACACGCTAGACCACAACACACAAACACACAGACAGACAGACAGACAGGCAGACAGACAGACAGACAGACAGACAGACAGACAGACAGACACACACACACACACACACACACACACACACACACAAAAGCACACGCGCGGCAACACAACCCACGTTGTCGAAAGTGTCATGGGAGCCACAGATGAGGGCAAAGGCGTTTGCCATTTCCTTCGGCGACCGGAAGTGACCGCCACCCATCTTCACCTGCCCATACCCATTGCCCGTTTTCTTCTTCTTCTTCTCCTTCGAGTCATCATTCTCGTCGTCATCGTCATCATCATCATCATCATCATCATCATCATCATCATCATAATCATCATCGCCACCGCTACCATCGTCACCATCACTACCGCTTGTCTCCTCATCATCCTCATCCTCCTCTTCTTCCTCATCATCAGACACGCGCTGCTGCTGCTTCCGTTTCTTCGATGCACCTTTGGCCTGCCCACGCGTGCGCTTCGCTGTGCCACCGCCACCACCACCACGACGGCTGCTGCTTCTGCGTGGCCGCCGCCGCTGTTTCCTTGCTGCTGCACGTCGCCTCTTCGGCATCAGCGCCGCCACCGTCGGGGTTGGTGTCCGTTTGGATGACGATCCGCGCGCACTCCCGCGCGTGACAACAGGCGTGGGCTTTGTCACCACCGCCGCCGCTGTTGTTGTGGTGGTGGTGGTGCTGCGGCGGCGAGTGTTTGTGCGTGTCATCTTGGGTGTTCCCGGCACGGGCACGGAGCCATTGGTCTGCCGCCGCCCACGCTTCGATCGCATGCTTGGTGTCGATGGCGACAGTGGTGCATCCGCGCTCCCTGACGGTGACGCTGACACCGATGATGCTGGTGACGCACGTGTCAGGTTGGTCGGTCCCACGGTGGACGCGCCTTTCGACATCTTTGGCCGCGGGCGCCGTGGTGT